TTGTTACTAAGTGCATTGTTATTTTAGTCCAGATTAGAAATAATTGAATATATTTATAGACATTAATGAAGCAATAAATGGTACAAAAGACTGAAAATACCTATAGTTAGTGTAACAATTTCCATTAAATACGTGTATTTAAATGAAGAATGACAGTTTTCTTGCATCAGACTTACAATACTTCAGAAGCTGAGCAATGAAAGCATTTGAAACTAAGGATCAGAGTTCCTACATGTTCAGTTACTTTAGTGGGTAGTGTGTGAACTTACTTAATGGGAAATTTTTGATCGCTGAGAAACAAGCCAACTGGTTTTTAGTTCCAAGGATCAGAAAGAGAACCAGTGAAAACAAGATCCTTTGAGTGAGCATGTCTGAACTGGAGTCTCATAGTTTGCTGCATGTATGGACAGAGTATGTGCAGTCTGTAACGTGACTGAATTTAATTTAGGCCTGTCTAGACTGCTGTTACTCCTCTGTGACTCCAAGTGACACAACGAAGAGTAAGGAAGATTCTGTTCTGTACTTTTATACTTAGCTTTGGGCTCTTTGGAAGTGAGGAAACCTTAACAGCCAGACTCAGTTGCAAAAGGTGAGGAAATTAAACTGGGATTTGAACCTCATATTTAAAGAAGTATGGGTAGGATTTGATGAAGGATGCCAAACTATGAGGGTGATATAGGAAAAGAGAGAAAGAAAACCAGCAGATGGAGAGTAGGGCTGTAAGATAGGAATGGAAGCTGAATAGGCCAGGAACACAGGTGAGAAGAAAAACAGATGCCCCCAGTAGAAAGAATGAAAATAGAATTGGAAATCAGGAGAGATCTGGGCTGATGCTGGGACAGAGAGGGAAAAGAGCAGGAACATTAGAGGACATGTTGGGGCTGGAAGTGGGAGGGTTGCAATAGGACAGGTTAGGGAGGAAATATCTGTAGCATTTAGGTTTCCCTGCAAATTTGGCATTGAACCAAAGCACAGACATTTGTACGAGTATATTGTAATTACTCTAAAGATCTTAGACCTGGAACTGACCCATCTGTGGAGTCAGGATGATTTCACAATTTAAAGGGTTTTTTTCCACTTTTGAACTTGAAAATACTGTATAAAATATATCCTAAAGAGCTTTAATTTGCAAAATCAAATTTGCAAAATTAGGGTTGGTGTTTTGTATAATTTTGGTAGGAGTTCCTTTGGAAGATGTATTATTTGCATTTACTTGCTTGGCATTCTTTCATATTCATTGACATTCCTCATATTCATGAGGAATACTGCTGTACATCTCGGGTTTTGTCAATGGGATAGACAATGGTAAAAAAGTCTCTTTCTGTTAGGTAAAAACAGATTAGAATTGCTATCCCAGTACTATGGGGTGCTTATAAGAAGTTGGAAATATTAAGTGAATTTCATACAAGTATATGATAGAAATCTTTTAATATCAATATTAAATTAGGCTGTGCTGGATGTGTTTTGTAGTTCCTCCATTCAAAAAACAGTTGGCTACCATACTTTCTTCAGCATGCAGACTACATGATTTTACCATGAAATCTTTCCATTTACTCTCATTGTATGCAGATTTTGAAAAGTTATTATGTCATTATCCACCGTTTGCAAAACAGACTCCTCTGATCAAAAAAATCCTAAAACCATCCTTGCAAACCAGAATTTTAAGTCCCTCTCTGAATATTCTGTCTCCTACTTTATTCTAGAAATAGTCTTTTTGATAACCATTGTGTCACTCTGCTTTAGCAAACTTCAGGCACTATTGACTGGTCAGCCTAATGGCACAGAGATATAATGAAGCTGAGACCTCTTTCCAGATGATTCTTACATGTGGGATTTTTTCCATTTTTTTTCGTTAGCTCACTCTGTAATTTCCCTCTTATGCCCAACCCTCATTCTTCTGTGAGACAAAAACCTGTACTGTATATCAAGTTTGCTAAAATTTCTTGATGGAGAAAAATCCTGCAGACCCACATTCCACTATTTTTTTCCATAATAGTAGTGTTAACGCATAGGGTGGTTTTGTTTTCTTTTGTTTTCCCTTAGAGACCATATAAGCAGATTAAGGAATGTATTTTGACATTGTGTTACATGACTCTCTACACACATGCACACACACTTGTGCTGGAATAGTCGCCAAGAAGCCAGAGATACTATCCGGCCAAATAAAAGCAAATATGACAAAGAAACTCTGGATGGTGCTACAATGGAGGAGTTACTAGTGAGCTCAACAGTGTAGTAAGGTCAAAAGAAAACCGACCCTTCATAATGTTACCAGTACAAAACAGATCATGCACATGTAGCTACTCCAAATTTCCAAAACAAAGTACAAAATTTTTTTTCTGAAGTTACTGCTCGTGATTGGGTTAATAAGTGAGCTCTGGAAGCACCCAGCTGATTGAGTAGACTTACAACATCATCAGAGAACTACGGGCTCCTCTGGAAAGTATAGAAAGTAGGTACAGAGAAGTATGCGTAGCCTATGTTTATGCATGTTTCCAGTGTGTAAACTCTGTACAGAACAGTTCATTGAACCTCAGAGTAATTTAAGGTCTGAAGCTGTGTACAGGAAGGCATTGCCATTTATTTTGTGTAAAGGCAGAAGATATGAATTTGTTGTTGAAAGTGTGACTGGTAGATAAATTTCATTTGTCTGTTGCATCACACATCAGTTGGCTGGATGACATGTATCTTTGTGAAGACTTACTCATTTTGGAACAAAACGTTCTTCCCAGGATTATAAACAATATGTATAGCAGAACAGATTTAGCATCATGTCTGCAGCCAATCATGTACAAAGTGTGGAGAACGTAAGAGTGCTGGTTTTGTGCCGTAAAATGAAAATAGGAACATACAGTCAGGGAGCAGTGGTGAAATACTAAAAGTATCAGCACTTGAAAAGCATCCTCAAGCAAAATTTACAGCAGTAGTCAGTAACCAGATAATTGGCATTTAGCAGTTTGAGTGCAGTAACTCTGTTTGAGAACAAATGTCATAGTATTGAAAAAGAAAATTGTTTTAAAAAGAGCGACATTTTCATGAGCTCAGTAGGCAGAACTTCCAACCTCTACTCATGCAGTCTGTGTGGGAACAATCTCATTCATGCATTCGATTGTTTACTCATACATGGATGTCTACAGAGTGATTATAAAGGGCATCATGATGACACCTGTTTGTTCTGTTCAGGTTAATTCCAGTGAAAAGTGCTTCCTTTTTGTGCCTTAGAAACATTCCTACATCTGAAATCCTCAGGGAAAATACTGGAAGTAATCTCCTTGTTTTTGTTAAACACTCAATCCCAACTAAAGATCAGGCGCTAAATAGGATGGAATTGTGTTGCAACTGCTATTTGACAAATGACAGCTAACATAACAGCCATGCTGGGTTAGAATAAAGGTTTATCTGGCATTCTAACAATTTGTTGTTAAATGACTTCTGTGTGAGAAGTACCATCTTGCATTCAATAGTTGTCAAAGGATTTCTCTACTGCAAGTTTGTTCAGTATCCTCTTGAGTAAGTGTTAATTTTTAGCATCCACAGCATCTTGTGGTAAGGAATTTCACAGCTTTCCTGTCTGAAGAATGACTTCTATTTGTTTCATTCTGCATCTGCTAGCTTTATTAGATGCCTTCTCATTCATCTATTAGAAAATACAGTTGATTCCTAATCTCATTCTTCATGCCACTGATGATGTTACAGGCCTCTCACTTCTTCCTTTTCCTTACACCATCTTTTCCAAGCTGTAGAGTCCTAGCTTACTTAAGTAATTTTTTCCACACCGTGCAACTGCTTAAGTGCGTGATGTTGCTGGTTGTCAAAGGTAATCCTTATTACCCTTCTGTGATGCTTTGGCAGTTCCATTATAGTCCTTGTGAGGTGAGGTACTGGAACGGTCATCTGCATTCAGTATGCAGGCAACAGCATGAAACTGTAAAGTTATGTGGTGATTTCTGTGTTTTCTCTATTGTTTTCACAATAATTTGCAAAATGTTGGGTTTGACCATTATTTGAAACTGAGCCAAAGTTTTCATGGATTTATCTAGTATAACCCCAAGATCTCACTTGTGAATGAAAACGGTCAGCTAGGAGTTTATCATTTAATGTATGTGCTTAGGATCATTTTTACAACCTCTGATTTACTTTGCCTATATCTCCTTTGAATTTCCTATGCATAAGGTTTTCTACTGTTGTTCACATCACTCTCATTTTCTACAGTCCAGTAATTTAGTAGTCTGTCAGCAAACTTTTTACCTCTCTTTTTTGAGATTGCCTGTTAAGTATAATTAAGAGAATGAATGAAGTCCAGTTCCAAGTGGAACAGTATTTATCTGTCACCTATAAGTGACTATTACCTTATAGTGATATTCTCAAAAATATACTTCATTTCTGCTTTTTGAGAAGGACCTGTGGTTCTGAATGACTGTGGAAATTAATACACCGTTGTGTTCTGATGTCTCTTTGTATCTTTGGGTATGGGAAAAAGCAGTGTGGCTGATATCCGTGATATCTCAAAGGCATATCCCAAGGGACGCGCCACTGATATCACTGATGTCTAATACCACTTCTCCCCATTGCGTGTAACACATGGTGGTGGAAACAGGAGACAACATCTCCTTAGTATCTCTCCCATGAAAAGGCTTCGGTGTGTATATTTGTGTACCAAGAAAGATATTCACATTGATCTAACAATTTTAAAAAGTAAGATATACTGTAAGGTCATTGTCATTTGATTGTGCATTAACCGCATATTCAGAAAAGCCATGGACTGAGTTTTCCACGTACTGTGTTTGGTTGTCATGATAGGATTGAATTTTCCTAATGATGTTTCAAATACAGGTTACAATAGTTATATAGATAAATGTACTAATACTTATTAAGTTCTTAGAAATACTGTATTAATTTCTGAAATTTATTCCTGTAGTGAACAGAACTAGCATGTATTCTAAATTTGTTTATTTTTGAATCATCAAAACTTTTTTCTTTTTTTTTTTTTTTTCTTTTAGGTATAGACAAATGCAACTTGGCACAGAAAGCAAAGTAGCTGAACTTCTTCACCAAAGTAAGTTAAAGTCCTTTGAAAGTGAACATGTCCAACTTATGCAACAAGAAACAGCTAAGAATCTTTCACAGTGCCAAATGGAATGTGAGAAATATCAGAGAAAGCTGGAGGTATGTTATATAAAGAGACACTTTACGGGGTATTACATAGTTGTTTTCTATTAGAATGTAAAATGGAAAAGCTTGGGAAAAAAGTAGCAAAGAACCTACATGGCTGAATTAGTATCTCCGTTGATGAAGCTGAAGCAGAATAATGACAAAACTTAGTAGTCTTAATGACAAACTTAAGTTTGCTATTAAGTGACAAGTTAAGTTTGACCAGTTCAATTGAAAACAAGACTTAGGGGAGAGGAAGAAAGCAAAACAATCTCTCATGGAGAGATGTTGAAGACAGTACCTCATTCATGTGAGGTATATATATGCTTGTATCACAAAGCTGCTTATGTCAGTCTATGTGATTATTAAAAAAAAGGGAAAGAAAACAGTTATACTAGAACAGTTAGGGTAAATTCAGTATCAATATTAAAAACTAGGGTTTGTAATAGCATTGTTACTTAATAAAAATCATTTTTATTGATATGCAATTCTGGAACAAATTTTTATAGCTAAAGAAGTCAAGGAGAGTATGGTGTATGCAGCATTGAAAAGACCTAACATTGCTAATCCGGTCATGGTGGGTTGACTTTGGCCAGCTGCCAGACACCCACCCAGCCACTCTCTCATTCGCCCTCCTCAAGAGGATGGGGGGTAAATAAGATGAAAAAGCTCGTGAATTGATCACTAGGTAGGGAGATCACTTACCAATTACCATCATGGTCAAAACAGACTTGACCTGGGGAAAATTAATTTCACTTATTACCAATTGAAATAGATTTGGATGATGAGAAGCAAAGACAAAAACTAAAACATCTTTCCCCCCTCCTTTCTCTTCTGGGTTTAACTTCCCTCCTTCATTTCTGACTCTTCTACCTTCCCCTCCCCGAGCATTGCAGGGAGGGACGGAGAACAGGAGTTGGGGTCAGTCCATAACAGCCCCTCTCTGACGCTTCTTCCTCCTCACACTTTTATCCTGTGCCAGTGTGGATCCTCCATGGGTTGCAGCTTCCTTCAGGAGAAAATCTGCTCCTACTTGAGTTCTCCACAGGTTGCAGTTCCTTCAGGGCATGTCCACCTGCTTCAGCATGGGGTCCTCTATGGACTGCAGTGTGGATATCCGCTCTGGTGTGGTCTTTCATGGTCTGCAGGAGGACAACCTGCTTCACCATGGTCTTCTCCATGGGCTGTAAGGGAATCTCTGCTTAGGTACCTGGAGCACCTCCTCCCCACCTTCTCTCACCTTGGTGTCTGCACCAAGGCTATTTCTCACTTTTTTCCCTCACTCCTCACTGCCATGCAGCATTTTTGTCTTTTCTTAAATACATTTTCCTCGAGGTGACCCCATCTCGGCTGAGGGGCTCAGCCATGCCCTGCGGTGGGGCCATTGGAGCTGGCTGACACCAGCTGTGTCAGACACAGGGCAGCCTCAGCCTCTCCTCACAGAGGGCACCCCTGCAGCCCCCAACTACCAGCACCTGGGCACCTGCACCCAATGCACTATTTACATAGAGCTGAATGACTTGGACCTGTTTGTCTCTGCAAACTTAGAATTTATTATCTTTCCAAAATGTACTTTCAAAAATGTATCATACACTGTTCACTTATTTTACTATTGGAAAGGTGTCCAGTATTCAGCAAAGCAAACTTACTTTAAAACAAAATTTCTTCACCTGTGCAAAACTAGTCCCAAAATCATATCACTGAGTCCAATTTCTGAGATTTAAAGGAAATTGACAGTGTATGTCTAAAACAAATGTCAGGATACAAACTGTACAGGACAGAATAGAAACCTTTTTTCGAAGTGCCAGCTGTGGCAGCCTTCATTTGTGGAGAAGGATGCTGTTCTTCAGGTCCCCACATTTCTAATGCTGAACCTGCCTAGGGTGTTTATAAAAAGGAACTATAGAGTGGAAACAGAATTAGAGAGTTTCAGATAAAATGTAATTTCTTGTTTTGTCTGTATTGAGACATTCAAATCCTGGCTGATGGGGTTAGTTGTGGTCACAAGCACTGAAGTGCCAGTTTTGCTAGACTTTGAGGTTGCTAAAAAGATTTCTAATTGCACAGACATGTCTAAACTTTGAGAAGTTAGTTAAATTTAAGTTATATTTCCATTTTCTTTGTGGATATTTATTTGATCTGGTAACATCTTGAATATCTGACATTCAATTCTAATAGCACTTTTGGCACTTCCTTTTCTCTTTAGAGAGATGCTTTGAAACCAGTGCTCTTTCATTAAGAAATGTTCTTGCAGAATTTAAATATTTGATGTGTGAACTTTTACTTTTGTTCCTTTTGACTGAATTCTTAATTTTTAAATTTATTTTCTTAAAAATAGTATCAGTGTACTAAGGGTTTCTCTTACACTTCTTATAGGTTATTGATCATAATAACGTAGTCACTAGTGGCTTGTGGCTCAGCTACAGCTGCTTTGTGAACAAACTCTTGTTTTTCTTTGTATTTCAGCATAAAGTAGTTTCTCTTCTTATGCATGCTGAAACTAGGAAACAAATGGTTTACATGTTGCCAAATTTTAACCTATACATTTATTCTTCTGTGACACTAGACCAATCTTTTTATATTCGAGTGGCTTGTTTCTCTGTAAGCATTGTGCATTCTTTAGTTTTTTTGACAGTGAATCTGGTATTACTGCTGTATACACTATGCATATATTTCTGTATCTCAAGATCTATATTCAGTTGTCATCTTGAATGTTTGAGATTTTTATTTGGGAAGTTAGTATTAAGTTTAGCTGCAGTACTGCTTGGTTATTACTTTACCTGTTTCAGTGGAGGTTTTTTTGCAAAGCATATAGTTTGCTACGTTATTTACCAAGGATTTTCTTATTCTAGTTAGTTTTATAATATTTATGTTGTCTATGTGGTTTTCTACTTTCAAGCACTGTATCAAGCTTTAGTTCTTACAGACCTTCCTAACTTTCATTTTTGAATATGTGCTTTTTTGTTTAAGCTTAGTAGATTCAGTATTTACAATAGTCCTGAATGTTAATTGCATATTAGCTTTCAGTAAATAAAGTCAGTAAATAATAAGAATCTGGTATATCTTAAATACCAAATTTTGATATTTATGCATTTACCATTCTGTAGAAGAACCTTCTTTTTTTTAAATTGATAACTGAAATCTGAATCCAATTAAAGAAATGAAAATAAATGCATTTACACTGTTTTGACTGCTGTGTATTAATTTTTTTAGCTGTTACCTTGCTTTTCCTAACTGTCCTTTAAAATTCTTGTAGCTTTTTCAGAGAGAGATTCTTAGAATTACTAAGGCCTTAGGAGATAGACATAAGTGGTATGACCTGAAAATGTAATCTGTGCAAGGTAATATAGCTGAAAAAATAACTGCTTTTTAAAGTATTTTAATCTTCCCTGTGCAAAAGTTACATCCACTATTCAGTATCATACTGCTAAGCATTTTACATGTATTATATTTTCCCTCTTTCATAAATAGCTGTAATGCTGGATCCCTGATCTTTCCATTATTCATTCTCACAGGTGCTTACTAAGGAATTTTATAGTCTTCAGTCTTCTAGTGAAACACGCATTATTGAACTTCAAACACAGAATTCTGAGTGTCAAGCAAGGCTAGATACTTATGAAAAACTTGAAAAAGAGCTTGATGAGATAATACTGCAGACAGCAGAAAGTAAGTTCTGTCACAAATTGTATGGTATCTGTAGGTGTTTCTGGCATGATGAGATGTCTTGTTTCTCATGGCACTTGGAAAGTATTAAAGTGCCTGTCATTCTTCCTCCTTATGAATGACAATTAAGATACAGTAATTATTTTGATAGAAAATATTAATGACAGGTTTCTAAATGTATTTGTAAATATGTATCAAATAAACATGAACTCAGACATATGGATATTAAAAATCAGTGTTTCTTTTTCCTTCATTTTTCTTTTCATTATTCTAATCATCCATTATAATTGGATACTGTTTTTAGGATTGTCCTATTATTTAAGTATATTTTGAATACCAGGAAACCCTCTTTGTTGACAATTATAGGTTTCATAATACAGCACAGTGATTAATGTGGATTTTTAAATGAATTGGGGGGGAAAAAAGCTCTTCCTTGTGTTGAATTAATAATAATTAGACATTTAGTTGCTTGTGGCAGATCAGTCTGCTCCAAGTACTAAACCCTGGATTAAATTGAGGCCTGATTACTCTTGAAAATTTTTGTCTCTGATTGGCAAAAATAACAATGTCTGTTCTCAAACTCAACAAAATTTCTGTGAAATTTCTGTTGATTTGATTCTCAGCCTAAATTAATCCACAAAGCAAGTAATTTCTAATTTGAAATTAAGACTCTAATCATGAAGTATTTTAGCCTGTGTGTAAACAGAGTAGGACATTTTAAGATTTCAAACTAACTCATATATCTTGTCCTTTTCTCTTTCTTTACTCCTCCAAAAAATAATGACAATTTGTAAATAATATTTTCCACATATAAAGCTTATGCAATGATCTTCTATATAAACAATAGTGTAGAGGAAAATATGTATTACTGGGATGCAGTGATGTCTGGGTATCTTTAGTACTTAGACTGTACATACTTTATTAATTTTATACACTGCAGCTTGTACTTGTTAGAATGGCATGAGTACTCAAAGGTTCCAGTCTGACCATAAGCATGTTTGCTATATACATGCTTATGTTTTAGTTGGTAACATGTTTTTTGAAGTGTATATATATAAACTTGCCTAAGAAATATTTATGTATTGATACAGAATTTTTGGACCTTATCTTAATTTTTTTTCCAAGGAGAAGATAGAGTTCAGAATGCTGTTTTTTGTTTACACTGATTTACATTTTCTTATGCATCTTGGGATAGCAGTAAAGGCTTTTCCAGAACTAAATCATTCTTAATTTCTTCTTAAGTATGTATTTTATTTATGATTTATATTCTGTGCTATAGAATATGACTTGAAGAAATGAAAGTTTCCAAACGGACTCTTCTGTTAAAATATAATTAATTTATCTTCTGATTTTGTTGGAGAAAAAAAGGGAGTTAGAGTTCAATATTATTTTAATGTATTTTCTATTTAACAACTAACATGTTTTTTTTCTTGCTATTATTGTAGTCTATTTGATATTGAAAGTTAGGATTAATACTAATTAAGACTGAATTCCAGCACCAAAGTGAACTTCTGAGGAAAATCAGAAGAAATAAAAGCATTTCTTTTTTAAAAACACTTTGAAGAAGAACACAGACATACTTCCTCCTGTGTCTCAAATACTGTCCTGGTATTTACATGTCATAAATAGCTAAAGATAGAAAAATAGTTGAAAGAAAGGAAATACAATTATTTTCCAAATTTAATGTGTTCTGGAAATACTCCAGTCTATCTGTCAGAGAATATAATTTAGGCCGAAGCATTGTGTGGAAGACAATTAGAATTTTCTATGGACTTTACTGAGAATAAGATTTTACTCTTCAGTTCTGTGGTCACTTCTATATATTTCAATACCGTGTAATATTTTTCTCTTCTCCTTGAGTTATGAAGCCTCTGTTGTTTTATAGTATTTGGGAATGCTGGTGAGGGTTGGTTCTCTGGACTGTAATAAACTGTGTATTTACACGTGAGGTGGCTTTTGTCATATAATCATATAAGCTTTTTATTTTTTCCTTTGGAGAACATGCATGTGGAAGAGATCACTGAATTGTGACTGTTATTCCCTCATTATTATGCCTCACTTTATTAATATTGAAATAACATGAAACAGCCTATTCAGGAAACTATCAAGAATTTATGTAGCCATTCCTTACAGCATCTGAGTGGTTTCCACATGAAAAGCAATAGTAAACTTTCTTGGCATTTGTCTATTCTTCCTTTTCAGGGTAAAATCTTCACTTTAGGCTGTTTTTGTTGTAGACTAACGAGTTGTTTGATTTTTCTTGCTTCCATTGGTTAGTATCTTTTTAAGGAAAAGGTTCAACCTATCTGTATCCTCACAATGGCATGTGAGGATACTTTTTTGCTAAGTAGTGTAAAAAACTGTCATTAATAAGTGTCCTCTAACTTGTAACATATATATTTTACACCACAAAGTCAGCTGAAGAGCCTAGGAAGACATAAATGAAGATAAGAGAAGCACACACTGATACAGAACATTACTTTGGCTCAATATCTACAACATTCCCAAAGTTTTTTGTGATTGTCTTCATGATCTGATATTTATGTGGACACTACTGATAGATACGAATTTATAGGGCAGATTCTTACTGACATTTTTCTGAGACAGACAACATTGAATTTGTAACCGAAAATAAGGATTATGACAAAGGCAGATTAAATTATTTTTAATGTTTTTCTGAACCAGAGGTATTTAAGGCACTGGAGAATTCCTCGTCATAACTAAGACAACCTTGAAAATCTGAAGTTCTGGCACCTTTGTACTGCCATGTCAGTAAACTTTTTCTGTCATACCAACTGGAATTTCTGTATTGTTTTTAATGTAACTAGATATGTGACTTATCACAAATACTCTACTAGAGGCTTTTCTCTTTTGAAATGTGTTTTAAGAATCCTTGTTAAAAATAGCATTAAAAGAGTACTAGACAAGTGAGGAAAGAAGCTATAGCATTGTGCAGCTTGTTGAAAGAAGATATTTCTGATTTTGAGGCTCTTGAGCATTAGGAAAGCTGAGTCAGATAGGACTGTCATGTCATTTCCTAAATCTGTTTCTCCTGTTCCCAACTACTTGATTCAGAAAAGCTGTTGTGTGGTGACTGGGCTGGTGTTCACTTGTGGTCCCACCCTCACACCCCTGTCACTCCCCCTTTCTCTTTGTCCCCCTTTACCCCTCCTCTCTGTCCCCCTCTCTCTGCCCCTGCCTACCTCACACACACACTTCTTTTTTTCCTTTTTTTTCTTCCTTGCCCACTTTATCGTACAGGAGAGAGGAAACCTGAATTACACAAGCTGAAATATTAAAATCTGTACACGTTTTCATCTTGCTGCTATTGGGATTTCTTTTCAAAGCAATTCCAATGTGTTTTAAATCCTTAGAAATATGTTTTCAGAAATCAGTCATCTACAGAGGCAGAGATTATTTTGAATATTTTTACTTTACATAAACAAGAATCTCCTTCTTGCCCTTCTCTGAAGATGGGTGTGGCATTTGTTTTCCTCAGGTTATCAGAAATTTCTGATCACCACAGTCTTTCAAAAATGATAATAAGCAGCCTCACAGTGACATCAGCTCCTTCAGCAACCTCAGATGCGTCCCTTCTGGTCCCATGGACTTGTTTATGTCCAGTTGGCTTAAGCACTCCCTAATTTTATCTTCCTCTACTTCCTCATGTACTCACAGAAAATGAATTCTTTAGAAAAAAAACCTAAGCAGCCTAACCCTGTACTGCTGAATTAAACTTATACTATTAGTGTGTATTTTGTGACTATGCCAATAATACGAATATTCAAGGACACTGAACTCTTTTCCTTTGCTTTCATATTGCATAAGTCTTATGTTAATCAGAAAAATAAAAAGTGAAAAGCCTGCCAGTGTTGTAAGAAATTAATGCGTGGCACTGTGTTAATGCTAATTGTGAACAAAATTGTTCCACTCAAGTCCAGAAGGTTATACCAACTGAAAATCTAGCTTCTAGAAAAATGTTTGTGCATGTGTAAAATTATAAATAGAATTGCTTAGAAGTTTGTAAGTTCTTGCACTGTAATTATGTTCTTCAACAGTACCTTTCTGCAATTTTTTGCAGTGGAAAATGAAGTTGAAGCTGAAAGGGTTCTCTTCTCATATGGATATGGTGCTAATGTTCCTACAACAGTGAAAAGACGACTAAAGCAAAGGTAAAAAAATGCCTCCTGAATTTACTTGTTCAAGACAAAGTAAATGAAGATATTTGCATTATGTTTTGTCTTAGAATCCAGCCAGTGTGATTAACATATAGAGTTTTTTAATGACAAGTATAACAGGTCCTAGTCTTCATTCTATTCCTGTAATGTGGTTGATGCATATAAATGAGCATATACATATCTTTCTACGTAATTTTAAGATGTTTTTCATTGTCCTTCAGAAAGATGAATTTTAATTGTATAAAACTAAAGAGCTGTAAAAACAGACTAGTTACATTGTTTACATTTATATAATAGGAAATAAGTTTTTAATACCCTAAAGATGACATGTAGTTGTAAGAAAGACACATCTGTCAGGATATTAAGAAAGCCCAGGTTTCAGAACATCACTATTTCATCTTTACAAATACAGGATCTGATTCCAGTTATATGTCTTCAGTTTGCTCTGGTACCATTTCATCAATAGATAAAAATGATGTGTAAGCTGAATAACATGCTTCTTGATCACAGTCATTTTTAAATAATAAATTTATATTATGCATTGTCTTTAAGAAATAATAGTGACATTTGAATGGCTTATTATGAACATAAAGGCTACAACTCATTATGAAGTACAGGGAATGTGGATTTATTTATAGTATTTTTAAACTGTGACCACAGCAAAACTTTGGCTGTTGTTCAAAATATGTATAGACAGTATAAAAAGAAAGATAATCTAAGATTGGAATCATGGAATATTGGGATGATTTAGGTTGGAAGGAGCATCTGGAGGTCAGCAGGGTCCAACACCATGCTTAAAGCAAATCCAATTTTTCAAGAACTTGTCTAGCTAAGTTTTGATTTTCTCTATGGAGATTCCACATCCTTCACAATATCAGGTCAGAGTAACGTGATTTTTTTTTTTTTTGCCCAGAGTCATGTCTCCAGCCTGGCAGAGGAGACGCCACAATTAGGATGGTGGTTCTCCCAGGATTAGACTCTTTCCTTGCACTTAGATTGTGCCTACAAGTTGCTCAAGTGCGGGAAAGTCAGCTGCATAATTTGTGTTAGCGGTAGGCTTTGGCCATGCCGTCTTCTACCAAAATGAGAAACTCCACCATCATTGGTGGACACACAAAGAAGAGTATGAAGACAGGGTGAACATGTACCACAGCTTCACAGTGTACATGTCTAGGAGCTGGAAGTGCAGTTTTTGTCATGTATAGCTGGTTTTTACTACAAGTATTAGTTTGTTTAGTTGTTTTTGTCCTCTTAACCCTCACCTTCTCCATGACAAAGAATATTTAACATTGAAAGTTACTGATGAGAATTAAAGGCAAATGATGGTCCATTCATGTTTACAACAAAGATTTATAGGCCACATACTATTTCTTCTGTCCTTTATATTTGTTTTTCAAGTAGGTGTTGCCAATATGCTTGTCAATTGGATCAATTGGATTAGACCTGTTGTGCACTGAGTTACATATTGCTCACAAAAATCATAAAGATTTTATGTAGTACTTAACTTTGGCATGGCTTAATTTGCTCTTTCACATTTTTAAGCCTCTTTAGATTGTTTCCTTGTAACTTTTTTTTTTGTATTGCATAAAATTGACAAAATAAAAAAAAAAAAAGGAAGGGGAGGGCAAAAACCTCCATAACCCTGTTGTATGTCTGTTTTAGGAGACTGTTGAGAGTTCTATAGCATCATTTCCTAAAAGTTCATTTCCTTCCTCCTCTGTCAATAGTTTAGGAACTTTTCTGAGTTTTGGCTTAGATCCTTCTTTTTCCCCACCTTAATAGATTCAGTTTAATAATTTAAAATAAGTTAATAGTTTAGATTATTTACATATAAAAGAACTCTGCTAAATCACCTTTGAATCATGAATCTGATAATCAATAAGCCAGGATTTCAGATGTGCTTGGAAGACACTTTCTGAGCTTAGAAGTGGCTCTATCAGAATGCCTCATATACTCCCCTTTTGTTTCAAAAAGCACTGGCAGATAAAGCTGATTTAATCCTTCATAATGGTGCTGGAGACTTCATAGACTTTCTTTATCTTTTAAAATTAAGATTTAAAAAGCCCTAAAAGCCTGTGTATGGTTTACCTGCTGCTGTTCTGACTCAAGGAAAACTGCCATGCAGAAAGTGTATGTGATACCTTTGGCTCCCTAAGCTTTAAAGCAAAGTCTCTGTGACACCAACTTCTATGTTTAGAGCCATTAAAGAAACACAGGTAAGTTTTCTGCTCTCGAGGATTGCTTAAGGAAAGAGAATCTGTTACTAATGTGAATAATCTTCTTTTTGGAGTCCACTGCCTGCTCTTGAATTCCAGACATAGGGGATCCTAAACGAAGAGCTCTTACAAGTTCACAGCATGCACTTCAGTCTCTGAAACTTTGTACAAAACCATCTATTCAAGCATAGTGCATTGTGGGGTCTATACCTGTTTGCCTACTTGCCAGAAACAACTATTTCATTACTTTGGATGTAGGCACCATAGATCCATAGTAGTAAATTAAGCATGCCTGGGAAGATTCTGAAGCATGAAGACCAAATGGCATGCAGTAGCCCACTTCCGTAAAACTAAACTCTCAGTGTAGGTTAGCTGCATGTGAACTATGTATTGGCAATGATTTGCTTGCCCATGCTACCTCTTCAGCTATGCCTAGGAACTGTTTTGAGAGAGTGTTAATAACTAAATGCCAGAATACTACCAGGAACACTCTAGTGGTTTACTAACAATAAATTATCACATTCTTGAGCACTGCATAATTTTCTAGTATAGCTGGAATCAAAGTTTTCCAGAATAAGATGTCTTTGCAGATCAGTCCCTTTGTCCCTTTGCTTTAAATTTAAACTAGTTAAAAAACATATTGACAAGCATACTTGAAAAATGTACTTGTGTTTATCCCTAAATACTCACAAATTCAGGTCAAGTTCACTGAATAGTTGCAGCTGGGAAAATTATGATGCGTTACATTCCCAAAGTTGCCGTGGGAAGGTATCCATGTTTCCCCTTGCACTCTAATAGCTGATGTATGGATCCCTAACTAGTCAGAGAAGTGGTTCATTTCTCTTTTGTACTACATGGGATCTTAACACGCATCTCGTGTTAATTAATTGGAGAATTAATTTCTTTTTTTCTCAGTTATTGTTTACACAGTCTAATGCTCCTTGTAGGAGGAACTGAGAGAACCAACCTCTTAGTGAATGCTTTTGAGAATTTCAGGTCATTCTTCTCATACAAGAAGAAAGCAAAAGATTATATGAAAGGGTAGGTTTATAACACAGATGAAGAATATTAAGTTTTCTGATAAATCTAAAAGTTTATTCACTTTTACTGAGGAGAACATGGAGGTTATGACTGGTCAAATTTTCAGAGAAAGTTTATACTTATATGTTTATAAGTTTATATTTATATGGATAATAAGCATCAAAAGTCTAAGATCTGGACTGGAGTGACTTCTCCGTTTCTTCAATATTCAAGTTTCTGAAAAATGACACACATTTGACTGGAAGGATAGATTGTTGTGGAGACCCATTAGTCTGGTGGTTAAGGCACACTAAACAGTGGTATTAGCCCTTATTTTTAGAGCTCTGAATTTCCCATGTCATGTGAAATAGATTGGTGACTAGAGCACCTAAACATGGCAAGGTACAGTGATAAATTCTCTCGATACAATTTTGCTACTAAGCCACGAAGCTGCTAAATCCTACAAAGATGGCAGGATTCATTACAGGATACATAAATTTAGACATCTAATCATAGGTTTTACATAGAGACTTGGCATCTGACCTCTCATTATAACCAATTTAGTTCTAATCAATACAGTCAGTGGAGTTTGGAGTACATTTCAGTTCACCATTCAGGAGTCCATTTTGGTGGAATATAGTCAGGCTTTACAGACTGCATTAAATAGGACTAAATGATTAATTACAGCTTGAAAGACTAGGCTAGATGTCTGGAAGTAGGCAATGCAATTGCATACTGAATCTTCCCATTGCTGCCTACAGAACTGTGCTGTTGAATTGATGATCAACTCTTTTGAGTTCGGACGTGAAACATGGAAGAGGTTGAGGATCTAGTTTTTTAACTAGGGTGTTTGAGTCGCTCAATAATCCTTTTTGTTCACTTCTAAGTTAATTTGTGGATCTGCATCGGAGTTTATTTTTTAAAAAGTGGCAATAACATTTAATTATTTAGCAAATTACATGACAAACAAAACAATTTTCCCTCTGTTTTGAAAATGATAAAATACTACATTTTTCAGTGTTCCACTACAAAATTTGTATGTGTGCATTTTTTAAAAAAATTATTTAAGGATAAGCCAATTACAGTGATACCCTAAAGATGCTAAAAAGTACTCATAATTAGTTGAAACATTTTGACACGATTGTGTAGTATTGTACAAATTATATAGGTAATTACTTTGTAAAAAATATTACAATGGCATAACTGTGGAAATGCTCTTTCAATGCTGTTAGAATTTGTAATATTTTCATTGTTTTTCTAATTTTGACGATTCTGCATGTTTCACTGTAGTTTATATACATTAGTATTTAAGCAATGGTGAAAAATTAACGCAATCAAGTTCTGAAGTGTAAATGTGAGAATTTCTTTTGCATATTTTGGAAAAAATTCAACTTCAGCTTGCTTTTTATTGGCACAGTGTTCACTTGGCAAGGAGGTTACTGCAGCTAGAAAAGCAAAACTCGTTGCTTGTAAAAGATCTGGAACATCAGAAGGAACAAGTAACACAGATTTCACAAGAGGTAAATTACTGCTACAAAAAAATCAAATCTGTAGAGACTATAAACATTGCAGAACAGCTGTTCATAAAATGAAATATTTTCTAAACAGTGTTTATTATCATTTGATGTCAAAAAATGGCCTTATAATTAACCAAAACTCATTTAAAATGTTTTCAAATAAGTTTCTATTGTACTTTGAAAAGAAGATTGAAAGAGGGATTACTTTACAGGCTAAACAAGAACGTAAGCCAAACAGATAGTGTTCTGATTTCTGAACAGAAGACTGGCTAGCCAAACTAGTTTGTTCTGTTTGATAGTTAATTGTTCAATGAATACCTTGTTACTTTTTACACAGCTCTTCTCTTAAATCACTTTTGAAGATATTTCTGTAAATCCTTTTCTACATTGTCCAGATCTTGAGTCTTTTGAATATACAAATCTAGGCAATGTTTAACGTAAGCTGCTTTTTAAAAAAACTAAAATTATTTTTTTTTACTTTGTTACAATGAGTTTAATTTCATGATCTTTTAAAATTCTGTATATAATACCTGAAATCACATATATTGACATGGAGAACAAACACAAAACAAAACTCAGCTTGAAATCTCCCAGAATTAGGGCGAACTAATTTTTTGAAATACTTTTAAGATTGTCTTCTAAATTTCTCTTAGCAAATCTAGAAGTTCTTTTGTTCCCATTAGATACTGCCGCCATATGGAATTTCTAGACCGACTGTTTCAGGAATGTGATTAACAGTTTGATTTTTAAAGCCATGATAATTATAAATTAGGATAACTACACCCGAGTACTTCACAGTGCAAATACTTGCATTTTTTACATACATAAAATTCCTGTAATTTTAAAATATTTTATATTTTTACATATATGATTATATATACTATTTCAGTGAAAGACATATGAACAGTGAAGTTTTTGAATTATTTTTTTTAATCAATACTACAATTTATTGTGGATTCTTCTTAGTTCTATCCTAGTAATTTGTATTTGACTAAAACATATCTTTTAAATCTTCTTGACTTGAAGACATTAAGAGATTTGTGAATCAAATGTTATACTTGGTATTCTTCTCTATAACTATTCTTTCACTATCGTTAATAAAATCTATGCTTTATTTCCCACTTAAATCTTTTTGGTTTCCACTTCAATACGTTTCTCCTTACCCACAGTGGTTTTATATGTGCTTCTAGATCACTCATGAAAGCTTTAGTACCAGTGACCTTAGTTCAAATTCTTGCAAAATTCCACTAGAATATCTTCACCTCATTTTTATTCTCCCATGAGATGCCATGTAGCCCTTTCTTGATCTTTTATCATATAATTGTATAGTTTAAATCAGAATGTCATCCAGAACAAAGTTAAATGTCTTGCAGATAGCTAATGCACAGCTACTAAGCCTATTAACATCAAACTTGTACGGTTAAATAAAATCTTTTAAGACTTGCTTTCTATTAAACTCATGTCCGGCATTCAGGTCTGAATGCTTCATCAGATTTCTTTCTTCCTTTTTTTTTTTTTAAACTTTGTATATGATTGTAGACCATTTTGTTTGATAACAATTACTTAAGCCATTCTGCTTGCCATCCTTTAATATGTGCACAAAGAGTTTACACTTGTTATTAATGGACTAGAAAATAGTTCATCATTCTTATGTTATACAAACTGATCATCTGACATTTTTTCAAACAGAGGGCAGAAAATTTTACTGAAAACTTCTGTGTTTTCTTCAGCATTATATACAGTTTTACCATATCTCTGCCATCATGGGTTGTACTGTTTCTAGGATTTATTTGCTCCCATTTTTTTCATTCTAAGAGTTCTATGCTTGCTAGTATCAACTTTGCTCTTGAAGTTGTAGCTCCTCTTGTAAATTTTCTATATTTCATATTTTATACTGATTGCTATCCATCATCTTTCTTTATGTAGTTAAAGTTCTTAAACTTCTGTTTTCTGTCTTTACTGCATCCCCTGAGCTAAGACATATTTTTACTCCAAACTGTCATTTTTCTTGATTTTTTTTTCCTTTTTTTTTTTAAAGAGCAAAACAGAGATCCTGTAGACTACAGCATGCTCAGGTAGCTCGTTATTATTATTTTGATTGACAGTTTGTTCAGTCATCTAGATGAAATCTAGAACATGGATTGAAAGTTGATGCCAAAGTGATTGGATCAGCTTTTCTTTCGATCTTGGATTAAATACTGGTATTTCCCTGCAGTATTTATGATACAACTTTTTTTAAAGCTCTTTAAAGGAGAGAAGAAAAGGAAAATATCGCAGTAACTACAATGGATGCTCTTTCTAAGATTCTTTTTTTGGACTGTCCTCAACCTAATGCCATTGAGCTCTGTAGAAAGGAATCATATTCCTCTTCTGGGAAAGTCTAGCATTACCAAGAAGAAAATACTGACTCCTCCTTAATTTCATTCTTTTGATGGAAGTCTGATACAATGTGCCTGTTTGAAATTTGGAACCCTATGGAAAAGCTCAGCTACTGAAAAAAAACTTGTCAGTCTTCAGTTAGTCCCATTATAGTTTGTCAGGCTTTATTTAACTGCAGGATCGTATCTATTTTCAGGTTGAAATACAGCATTAGAAAAGAATTTTCCCTTAAAGTCATCTTTCTGTTGCTTTGTATAGCAGTGACCTGCAATGTTAAAGTAGGTATTGAGACTTACTTCATACTACAGAAGGTTTGTTGACCATATCTAGGACAAACAGAATAAAGGAATTTTCATGACCTGATCCAAGATCCTCAGCTAGTGATAAGCAGTTTATTGCCTCTGCAACTTACTTCACATTTAAGTAAGTGGAAGGCCATGTATCAGCTTCTGTAGTGATCTGCAATGACTACATTTAGTGTCCAATCTAAATTTTGGTATGAATTCACTTTGCAGAAGTTTTGAACAGTGCCAGAACTGATTGATAGACAGTCTCTTGTGTCTAGAAGGCTAATATGGTCTTTGAGTGACTTAAAAAGCAAATACTGAGTCGGTATACAGTAAAAGTGATATCCTAAATAAAGAAATTTACTAAGCTGCTATATTTGGCTTGCTGCTAGATGACTTTTTTGAACTTTCATCATGTCGTTGTATTTGTGCTTTTTGTATGCCTCCACTGAAACATTTTTACCAAAAGCAGGTTTACATCTCACTCTGAAAGAGAGAGTATACATCAGGCTGAGCAATGATGGAATCCTTCAGCTTGATAGAGATGTCCATTCAGGCATAAATAATAAATATCCAATTGCAAGGTATTTGATTTATTACTTAAAAGAATGACACAGAAATACTTAAGTAAATCTTGTACATTAAGGCAGAAAGAAATCAAAGTTACTTACAAAAAATAATGCTTTTGCTCAAGGATAATGCTTTATTTATATACGTGTGTATATTAGTAAAATTAATCCATTAAATACATTTAATGCTTAATTGATTACAGTTTAATGACAACCTCTTTTAAGTTTATAGAATAAAACAAGCAGCAGAGCACCACCATGGAGAGGAAGGGATAACCTTTTTTCATAATAGCAGCATGCTTTTTAGCTGGTGAAGTTGGCAAGTTAACAGATGGCTTAGCAGCATCAAACTAAGCCTCACTTGTCCTTTCCCACTGAAGTACTTTATTTCTTATCAGTGAGAACAATGAGGAGCTTCATACTGTGACGACAGCATTCTTTGAAAGTTCTTAGGCTACCAAGAACAGGATTCCAAACAAGATCAGTTGGATTAATTTTCACCTATAATGGCAGTCTCAAGGTTTTATACTGTAATTTTTAGACCATCCTAGAGATTAGTACTTCATGTCTTGGAATTACCTGTTTGTCATGTAAGGACTCCCTATTGTCTTCCTGAACGAGATCTTTTTTGATAGCTTATACTCTTGAAAAATAATAGTTTTTCAATTTATCTTATAATAAATAATTAATCTTATCTTATTCTAAGCTTATAAGTTTATTGAAGATAATTAGTTTCTTCAAGAAGATTGATTACCTCTTTTTTTACTTCTCTACAGTAAACTTAGAATTTCACTGTGGACTAGAATAGGTATTTCCTGAAGGAACTAATGTATTTAAATAATATTTAAGGATTTGCATTAATTTGAAGAAGTGCAATGTTATTGTCTCTCATTTCACTTTTTAAAACATGAAGGGGGGTTAATTCCCCTTTCAGTAAGGCCAGTAAGGTGAGCAAGCAAATTTTTGTCTATATTCTGGTTTTTAATAAATGTGAACCATTATGTTGTAAGTTCTTTGCACATTTGACAGACTATAGAGGGCAGAAGTAAAACTGCAATAAAAATATAATGGAATCAGAGAAAGAAGGAAACACAGTCTCATGTTTTGAAAATGTGAATAGGAGAAAAATCTGATTTTAGAAAAGTTCTGAAATATTATTTAAATGGGCTAGTTCTATAGGAAGGTGTTGGGGTTTTTTCCTGCTTATTTGGAACAACACAAATTAGGACAACCGGCTCCTTAGTCTGATTTGGCAAATGCAGATTGTTTAATCTGTTAAGTTTTATAAACTAATTGGAAAGCTTAACCATTTTCCATTGAATTCATTCCATTAGATCTGTTTGTAACTAAACATTCCATTGTATCTGTTTGTATCTTTTAATTTATTTTTTAAAGAATCTAGATGGTATTCTCAACTTCTATGTACTCCAGCTGCTGAAACTGCTAAATCTTGGTGTGTGATCTTACTCTGTACGTATTTTAGTGAACGGTCTTGTTATATTGCTCAAGATGCAAGCCATATCATGCAAGCTTTTTAAACCTAGTGATCCTAGTTTGTTCAGGGAATAGGGCTAGAAAGATTTATTTCCTACTTATGGATATCACAGTTATTTTATACTACTCTTGTAAACATCCTGTTAGATTTCACTGTTCATATACAGTAATTAATTAGAGGAAATGGGACTTTTCTTCCATTAGTACTGTGTTTTTATTTAGATTCAATTTCTGAGCTGAAAATACCATTGTAATAGTATACAGTTTTTAAAAAGTCACTTGTGGTCAATAAGATGAACAGAGGCCTTGTCTGTACTAGTTTTTTTCATCAATGGAAGCTGTTACATTAAAATTCTTGAAAATGCAGATTAAGGAAGTGTAGAGAGCAGTAGCATGATTGCAGTGAAAATATCATATAATTAGAACAGAAAAGTGAGAGAATAATGTACTAGATAGTAATTTGACGGCAGTTTGGGGTTTTTTTGTGAAATAACAGGTTTGGGGTTTATATTATTATGCAATTGGTAATAATCAATAATATCCAGTAGTAATTCAATAATAATAAAGTAATTATGCTTTATAAATTACAAAATTTATAGTAATAACACTTCTTTGTTTGGCAGCTTGACAGAACAAAGTCTTTGTTGAGTCAAGTACAACAGCCGTACAAATACCTCATTGAAACTGTGCAACAGAGAGATTCTCAAATAAGTCTACAGAAAGAACATATTACACAACTTGAAAAAGATGTCAGGTAATTAAAATCACTGTTTCTTATTTTTAAACTAAAATTAAAATCACTTATGTGTTTATCATTAGAAAACAATTATGTTATTGGCCATGAAGAGATGTTGACACTCCATCATTGACTGAGACGAGTCTTTATGCGGGAACTCTAGCATCTGTGATTTCTCTCATACTGTCAGAAAAAGAGGCTTTAGGTTTGGAAAAGCATCAATGACAGTGAGGTTGAAAGTGAGTTTGGAGTTGAGAAGAGCTCTCATGAAGTAGGGGAAAGTTCAGAAGAGTAAAAGGAAAGAATGACACAACAGATGTACAAAAGGTAAAAATAAATAAAATCAGAGAAAAATAATAAGACTAGTCCACCAGCAAAGGGTATTTCAGGCATAACTCGAGCAGATTTCCTCTAGTGGAGACTCTCTGATTTGGTGTTATATCCAGCTGTCAGAACTCTCTGACCACTGAGCAATTTCCCACCATCACATAGCTTTATAAACTATGTTTAGCATTTGGTTTCCAAGCAAGCTGTTATAAAATAATCTGCCCCTTGATTCTCAACGAAGTCAATACCTGTGTCCCACTGCACTACAGAAGAGTAAGCATTTTAACTATTAGGTGTTCATGTGGTATCTTAGTTTAGGAAACGCATATGGTAACAATTATGAAGCATTAATGTGATTGTATTATGAAGCAATTACATGAAAAATACAGGTTTTTCCCAACAAATCTGCTGAGGCAATGAAAATAGAAAAAGTAGGACTCACCATAGCTAAATGCTTTATCCTACATACTGTCTTACATATCACAGAATCACAGAATCATTATGGTTGGAAGAGACCTCAAAGATCATCAAGTCCAACCGTATACCTGATGCCACCATGTCCACTAAACCATGTCTTGAAGTACCACATCTAAACGTTTTTTTAACACCTCCAGGGACGATGACTCCACCACCTCCCTGGGGAGCCTGTTCCAATACCTAACAATTCTAACAGTGAAGAAGTTCTTTCTAATGTCCAGCCTGAACCTCCCCTGGCACAACTTGAGACCATTTCCTCTCGTCCTATTGCTAATTACTGGGGAGAAGAGCCCAATCACCACCTCACTACAACCTCCTTTCAGGTAGTTGTAGAGGGCGATCAGGTCTCCCCTCAGCGTCCTCTTCTCCAGACTAAACAACCCCAGCTCCCTCAGCCGTTCCTCATAAGGCTTTTTCTCCAGGCCCTTCACCAACCTTGTTGCCCTTCTCTGAACACGCTCCAGCAGCTCAATGTCCTTCTTATAGTGAGGGGCCCAAAACTAACACGTATGTATCTATTCAGAGTGTTTTGATGGTTTGGGATAGTATTTGTTATGCCCTGAGGAATACCTAAAAATGCTTATTATCCAAGTAAATCTATACATGAATCAATACATTTATAAGTAAACTGAAACATTCATACTTCCTGACAAGATATCTTTCACTGGGCTTAACTTTGATTCAGTAAGAATAGATATTTTTTTATTCCAGAATCAAGTGTTTTTAATATTTTTCTAGACTTGGTATATTATAAGAAAAACTTCAAATGTAAATTATATTTTTCCAGGAGATGAAAAATCACAGTGTTCTCTATATATGCAGGATCTTACTTTCCATTTCTGAAAAAAATCATCAAGGAACCGGTCATTTGCAAATTAAATTTTTAGATTATGGTAACATGAAAATGTCTTTCATTACTCACATAGTAGTCCAAAAGTCTCTCAAAAGCTAGAAAAAAGGGAGTAAATAGGTGAGGTCATTTCTGAAAGTGTGTGTTTCATGCCTTTAAAATATATAAGAACTTAAATGCATTATTAGCATTGATTCTCTTGAGTTTTTATGGCTCATTACAAATAACCTAAATTAGGAACTTAGTCAGGTCAGCTTTCCTTAGTAATTCATGGAGGAAGTGGCATCTCCAAAAAGCAATTCAGATTTTGGATCGAGTGAGTCATTTGCTAGAGATGCCTGTTACTGTCCATTAACTATAAAGGGAATTTTTGGCACCTTAAAGTGCCTGAGGTTAAGGAAGAAAATGGATCTGCACTGCAATGCCAGAATTCATGGTAAACATACCAGCAGTACTCTACTGTGGTGACCTGGGGTGTGCTCCCCACTAGTCTGTGTTTCTGTAAATGAAAGTGTGGTCTGACAAAAAAAAATATTTTTATCCTTAATGGTTTTCTAGCAAATAAGTAACACTTTGCACATCAAATATTTCGGTAAGAAGTTTTTTCCTGTAGTTTCTAATATTCCTTGTAAACTAAAATAACTATTATTCCCTTATCACAAGTGTGCCTCAACTTTGCTGTAGTTTCATAGCCAGTGAAATTCTTGGGAACAACCTAATGTCTTAGGGCTTTTGGTACATATCAGTAGTCCCTAATTTTGCTATTCATAACTCCATATTTAAAACAAATGTTCTAAATTGTTAGCTGATATTCCCTGGAGCACAGGGAAATCATAATCTGCTACAAAATTGATAATGTTAGTCCTTTGCTTTCCCATAAGTGACAGGAAGGTTAGAGGAAAGGATTTCTAACCAGAGAACCATTACATTCTAGCAATCTTTTGTCCTGAGGATAGCCTTTTGGAATCTGCTGATGACAGTTTTAAATTAAAATATCCCTTAGGTGATTTCAGATTACTTTGTGGACCAGTCTAGCTCCCAGCTATTCCAGAACTGAATCAGAATGGGATTTAAGTAAATTAATGATAATCCCTACCAAATATATGCCAAGGGAAGCTCTGCTGGATCAAAAGATTTAGACCACTATTCCTATCCGTCCTAGTTTATTAACAGCATTTTGTTGGTTTGTGTGTGGAAAATTTTTGCGAGGATGAGTTCAGAGAATTAATGCTCCTCAAGGAGGGCCCTAAATTCTGCAGATGATGTTGGTGCTATTAGAAATGTAATAGTGAAAACACTAACCATGGTTTTTGAAGTCTGGTTTCTCTATATCTCAGAGCTAAGAAGAAAAAGTGAATATTTGTAAAGTCATTTCAAAATTAAATGTTTTTTCCAACCATTACCTATAATTAATAGTTAATACTGCAGTTCTGCAGTAGCCTCTTTAAGTTGAGGTTTAATTTATGCTACAGTTACACAAAGTACATTATTTCTTTAAATTTTGCATACAATACATACATTAGTTTTATTTCTAAAAAGCAATTTCACAAGTACCAGCTAACAGAAAAATAATGTCCAAATTCTTGTTTTCAGATAGACCTTTAAAAGTACTAATGATTTTTTTGAATATATATTTTTTTAAAATCTCATAGTTGAGTACCACACTGTAGACAAATTAACATAATGTTGATATGCCTGCACCCTGACAATCAAAACTGAATACTTAGTTTTATCCTCACAGCTGCCCTATGCTTGATTGTGCTTTTCCTTCCTTTGTGTTTAGTGTGCAGAATCTATGGTGGAGGAGTGTTCTTGTCATGTTGTGTTTTTATCTCATCTGCTCATCAGGGGAGGTGGTTCTGCATTATGTAAATCATGAATTCCCTAAGTGGAGAAGTCAAGTCCATTGCTATGAGTGCGTGTGTTCTCTATCACCTCTCACTTAACTTCAGTGTAGAGGCATCAGCAAGGACTAATTTGCAAGTGAATTTACTTTTTTAGACTTAATCCATAATTGGCTTCTATGTGCAGTGATGACGGCCGATAATCTTTTTAGAATGTACTCTTAGGGTGGTTACGTTCCATCAGATTTCCCAGGATGATGAGTCAGTACTTTATTGCAACCTTATAAATGTTTTGCAGCAAGCTGCAGTGCTTTGTATTTCCTTGTCTATTTAGAAGGCTGTTGGTTGCTACTGGATGTGGTTTTGATGCTGTGATGAAATAGACAGTCTTGATGAAATAAGCACAAGAGGAAGGCAACTATGAGGAAGGCTATCTATGACAGCAATCTCCTTGTTGATGTTCTTGTGCCATGGTTTTACCAATTTTTCACAGAATGACCTAAAGTGACTTAAAACGTGGTCCCTTGACAGGCAACAGATATGTTCAGGACTCTCCACCCTGCATCATTCTATGAAGGTGTCATTTCTGACTACAGTTATTTCCACAAGAGGAGCGGGACAGATTCGGGCAGATTTTGATATAATACTCTTGAGAAGTCCTGCAGATCCATCTAAGTTTCCTTCCAGCATGGTCTTCAAGTTCACTTTAACCAAGGCAGCTTACATGCCTTCATCCTTAAGCATCATACCTCTAGAGCTAAGGCTGTCTTTCAGACCCTCCGTATCAACATATCTTCCTCATTTGGAAAGACTATTCAAATTGTACTTAAAGTTGCTTGTGTCAATAACTGTCAAACTGAATCATAGAATGGTTTGGGTTGGAAGGGACCTTTAAAGATCACCTAGTTCCAACCCCCCTGCCATGGGCCGGGACATCTTCCACTCAAAGCCCCATCCAACCTCTCCTTGAAAGGAGGAAGAATAATCAAAATAGGTGCCAGACTGAATCAAGGCCTTAAAGTAGTATATTCCACCAGAGCTGGAGATACTTTGGTGGCTTCCTGAGAAGTGTGGCTGTTCAAGACATCTTTCACACAGCTCTGTGGATCTTTAGCCATACATTCACTAGGAACTGCAAGAGCTATTGTGGTTGAGGTAAATGCTTGGCTGAGGAGCTGTCATTGCTGTTAGTTATTTGAATGAACATCTTAGGGACCCATCTCCAGATTATTACAAGTGTGTGACATTACTGCTTAGATTCAAGTGTGAAGGCAGAAGTGTATTACCAGTCAAAGATAAAAGGAGAGGTTCTTCAGGGGTAGTCGAAGCTCTGTCAGATGTTGCCCACACCTGTGTTCACTACCACTCTCCTTCCCATCCCCTTAGAATTCTCCCAAGCAGGCCACGGGCTGTGCTGGCACTTCGCCATGGAGAGAACTGACGTGGCCCTGGGAGCAGAGCACTTTGTGTGCTTGTATACTGAACCATGCACCTGCAGATACACTTCGGATACAAAACCTCTGGTCTTGAGTGACGTAGCATCTGCAGGGTGAATTTATAGGTGGTCCACTTATCTCAGAATATTCTGTTAAGTAACCTCTCATTTATGTTAGTCCACATAGTGCTCTTGTTAATAAAAGTAAATAGCAATGATTAATAAGAACAGTGGTATGTATAAGGATGACTCCTTCCTACTATGAAGAAATCTCTCTAGCATACAGTTCTTTAACCAGAAATGAAAACATCACATTTAGCACTCCTTTTGAAAAGAAATGCTGTAACTGTGTAACTGTGTCATGCTGTGGGAAAACAAATCTCTGGATTTCATTTTTATGCGTGTAGAGAAGTAATTGTAGTTTTAGTACATAATTTTCTGCTAAAAACATCTACGTTTATAAATAACTGGAGACATTAAATAGGACTTCATTCATAAAGAGAGGATATTTATTTTAAATGCAGTTACTCAAATTTCTCAGTACCAATGGCTGGTTTTAAAAGTGATTCACTTACCTAAAAGCACTCCTCAAAAGCCTAACTGTGTGGCAAATCTAGAAGCAGTACAAGGATTTTGCTCACTAAGAACCTATGTACTGAAGTGTTCCTTACCTAAACATTTTGGCTTCTCTAATTGCCATCCAAACATTATAAAGCTCAGCATACAGTGTTAGATGGGTTTTTCCCATCACCGAATGGGCAATGAGCTTTTTATGAGAACATTACCATTCTGTGAAATGCACATCATTTGTGCCAACACTACTGCAGTTTACCTGAGAAATGCTCCAAACAAAATTTGTAGAAATAGATTTCTTTTTTTCTACAAATGAATGTTTTCTGACCTGTATTGCAACTTTTAAAATTTTGTTTGGTGTGGGGTTTTTTTACAATTTGAAAAAGTAATTTCCTTTCGATTTGGACACTACATGGATGCATTTGTAAGCCACCTGAAGCACTCCAATTAAAATCACACTCTCCTAAATGCCTTTAAAAATCTGATCTGTGGTTATTTAGCCACACAATGAGACATCATAATTTTTTCATGTGTTCTCTCTTCTAAAGAACTTTTATTTGCAGAATTTTTTATGTCTCCCTCTCTAACTACATGACTTAAAAAGAAAATTTGACTTAGACTTTAAAAATTAGCTGTCTACTCTGAGCTATTAATCTGTAATTTGCAGAGAAGAAATAGCTGCACTATATGCCTATGTTATATATTCAGTTTAATGTATAAAACCTTCACATATAGTATTTATGTGTTTGATTTTTTTGATGGTAATATTTGTATATGAACATAAAATGCAAAAAAAATAACTCAAGATTGGACTTCAGTTTTCAACTTCATCATGCTGTAACGTGAAATTAACAGAAAAGCACAATCCTTATTTCTTATAGCATTTGTGGTGCACAGATCACTGAAAAAGAAACCTACTTTTTTTCAAACTGAATAGAAGTAATAATAAAAACCAGTAATATATAAAACCGTGTTTATTTAGTGTGTCCAGCATAAGCATATTATCCAGAACATCTAATGATAGAAGCTTCTGAACAGGATAGTATCCAGTGTATTTAGACCAGAGATTTTAAAGATGGCTTAATTGCCCAAATTCAAAAGGCTTTAAAAGTCTGAGACTGGGAAATGTTAGTCTCCATTCTCCACAAAAATAAAGTCACCTAAAAATGTCTTACTGTTTTAGGTGTCTTACTTACTCACTTACAAGATATCCAAGCTACCTTGGCTTTAGGTCCTGATTAAAGCAAAACAAAACAAGGCAGTGGTTGCTATGAGCAATGTGTATGTATATGACAAGTGTATTCCATGGTAAGTCCTGCATTCCTGGTAACTGGATTCATACCTGGCTAGGTTTGGAAAGCATGATGGAATGAAACGGAATCTCCCCCCAGACATTTTGGCTTCTTTTGGAAACCCGGGCACACAGAAAAAGCAGGAGCCACACAGCTTTTCATTCAATTCTCCAACCTGGACTTTTGGGGCCACAGTTAGATGATATATCACAAAGGGCACCTTCTCCACACTCAGGATGGAGCAATCAGTGACCAGAACTGTGGAGCACAGCATGGTCTACACTTGCCCTGCAGTGTGAAAACAGATGTTTGTGCTGTTAAATAACTCCAAGGGTATTAGATCACTTCAACACAGTCCATTTCTCCCAACTGTTCACGTTTTCACCCCAGAACAAGTCATTGGAGGATTTCTTTTAATGTTTAGTACTCTAGTACTTTAATACATCTCTGTATCATGAAAACTTAAAAGTGTGGTTAGTTAAAGATGGTTGAGAAGATCCTGTCTCTTCAGATGAAAGTGTTAACCCTTGAGCTCAGGTGTGAGAAGCCGGTTTGTCTAGGCTTACAGACTGTGGTTTCAGAATCATAGTAAGACAGTTAAGTCACTCTGTCACCAAATAGAGCAGTCTCATCCTTACCTTCAGCTGTGGCTTCCCACTGTACATGGTAAATCAAGTTGTTTTGGTGATCCATGTGAAAAATAACCTTTAAAAAGACTACAGCTTCCATCCAGATCAGCAAAGTGACCTACTTATGTGGTCACAAATTTTCTAGTACCAACACAAAGAGTGGGTTACCAGCATGTGGTTTGGGAAGGATGATCTTTCAGCAACAGTTTTCACTTAGGTCAGCTGAAACAAACTGTAAAGCTGCTCTCTGATTTGTTATGCTGCCAGTTAAAACTGGATTAGGTTAAACTACTGTTTGATGGAAGCATAGGATAGTTTAAAGCTAGAACCTCCTTGACTGCTGATCTCCAAGATGCCCATTCAGGACATTTTCATAACAGGGACTGAAACGGTCAGTGTTCCCAAAATTGAACTCTTGAAGGTATTTCTGCTTTACTTGGTCATTACAGGTGTTAATTTATTATTGTTGTGTCTAATAACTGCTTTCTCACTTTGTTAAATGTATATATGCCTCTTTTGCAGTATTCTTTCAGAAGTATATGAATTATTTCCTTCTATCTGCAATGATGAAAAAGCATAACTATTGCAAAACTGCTAAATCTGAAGTCTGCATGTGCTTTGGTAATTCTGTATGACAGAAAACACTGAATGATGTAGGAGTCTAATTCCTGTATTTGACCATAAACAGAGAAAATTAGAACTGCTCCACGTGGATCAGTGATGTCATATTGTTTCAGAAGGTATAACTAGTAAAATTAGAATAGGTTCTTTATGTAGATGAAATTGAACCTTGAACATGAACTTCTGGTTTACTCATGAACACTGATGTTTATGCTTATTCAGTACACTATTTAAGGCATAAAGGAACTTCTATTATTGCTTCTCTAATAAGTTTGTGAGTCATTCTCTAAAAGAATTGGTTTATGGTGTTAGGAAGTATAGAAATCCAAGAAAAACTGACCTATCAGTAAGTTACAACACATGAACTCAGGAAAAAAAATAGTACAGCAATTTCATCATGATTGAAAATGTCACAGAAAATAAAACTCTTGAAAATATTAAAATATCTTTGTAGTTTTTAATAAATGTTACTACTTTCCTTTTAAATAACTCAGACAACTAAGCAATTTGGCCAAAGCATACAATTTTTCTGAGAATTAATGAATGCCTTGAAGGAATTGACAGTCATAATTTACAGTACAGAGCTTGCAAGGAACTGCCAGAAAATCTCTGGGGCAAAGGATGATATTGCTTATTTGAAACAAGCAGATGATATACAGCCAATTAAAGAAAAGGTTGATTTATTTTGCTGATCATTTATGGATTAAATACTGGGAATATTAAATAATTTGTGTTTGCAACACATGTAAATGCTCCATTTGCTTTTGAACTCCTGACCTGTATTCAGTATTACCTATTTGCACTCCATATGCAGAATTGCACTTTGCATAGTTGTTGATTTATGTTATAGTTTATATTGTACAACCTATTTAGTTAAGTCATGATAATAGCATATATAACATTGGTCTTCCAAGAAAATCTCTGTGGCTCTTTTAACAAGCTAGATTATATACTGGCATTAAGCATGCATTAGTCTGAAGTTTATTGTTGGAAACTGATGTTGGGGCTAAATATGAAAATATGTTTATTTATATTAGAATTGCTGCCTGGAATCAGAATGTGCATGCTAAACATTTCAAATGTTCATATTCTATAACTGAGAAAACAAAAAACAATTAAATTTAAACTTGACATTGTGCTATAAAAGCATGCCTTCATGCTAAAAGTTGGTTCACAGGACAAACTTGATCCTATGCATTATCCTGGAATATAAAATAAAAAATGGCAAAAATATATTTACAATTTCTGCAGAAACTACACAGCTAAAAGGGAGAGCTGGATGTTGTTCTTCTTTGTATATTTTCAAAATTCTAAATACGGTAGTATAAAAAGAGGTGATACTGAGAGAACAGCGTGTCCTGCTACTAGTGTTGCATACGACAAAGAAATCCACATTTTGATATAGAAGTGTAGATATAAGGAGCCCTGCTTTGCTTATAAAATGAGCTCATTTTGCCTAGAAGAAACCAAGAGATAATAATAGAAGATTCTGATAATTGAAATTATCCTTCAGAGAATCAAAAAAACCCCCATAATTTATGAAGATTTTGAATATTATTTCTGATTTTGTGTGTATTAGTACATTCAGGACAATTTATAAAAATTCCAATACGTGAACATAGAGAAGGATCATTTGATACAATTACTCGAGCAGATTTTCATTGTTGCCAGTATTTAGCTTTAAAAAAATGCATGTTTCAGCCAGAATACAAGATTAAAAGAGATTATCCATTGCTATTACTGCATTTCCTATCCTCTTTCTACCAGTCTTTTAAATAAAGAAAAGACAGCTTTGCTGCGTGTCAAGAATCAAATGGCAGCAGATTTGGAGAGACTTCTAAATCACCGTGAGGTAATGTTCCTGTTTTAGCATTACTACTATAAGTGTGTTTTTTCTCTCCTCAGCCTTAAATCATGAGAAGAAATTAGTTTGCTTTGGTTTGATTTGTTGAGGGGGTTTTTTTGTGTTATTTTCAGAAACACAGGTGATCATGTCTGTCAGGCACTAAGGAGGCTCTCGATTGTACTCTGATGTACTCTCAGTTGCTAAATTCTCCCTGATAACTTAGTCTCACTGTTCCTTCTTTTCTTATGCATACAACAGACATGCCTTGCAAAGTGTTCAGTCATTTCATGAGTATTTAGAAGAAGGTGATGAAATTGATACACATGTAATCTGCAAGGTCTGCTTATGCCACAGTATGCCCCAGGATCTCTCCCTGCTCCCCAATCACTGAGACCAAGAACCTGGACAAAGCATTGCACAATTCATTTCCAGTACACACATTTGAGTTTCTTTTCAATTCCAAAATAGGATCTGGGGAGAGGAAACAGGGTGGTAGTCACACAGGTTTCATCCAGACAAGAGTCAGGGTACTTCTTTATGTACTTACAGGAGTTTCATCCAAGCAAGGAGTCAGTCAGGGTGCTACTGGAATACACTCGCGGATCTAAAAGTATGCAAAATCTTGCCATTTAGACATAAATGCTCTATATGGGGATTCCTAAAAGGCTTTTGTCAAGATTTATCTCTCAACAATCTTAAGAGACTAACATGTCATGGAGTATGAGAGAAAATCTTTCTGCAGATTAAATGTCTGAAACAAATAATAAAAATAAATTAAGTTTACCGAAGGAGTCCCATACACAAATGATCTGAAAAAGGGTGAATAGTAATATGGAAAGTTTGCTGAAGCTACGGAATACTGAAGATATAAACCCAAAAGCTGACCATGAGCAGCTGTTAAATCATCTCCCAAAGCTGCTGAATGATTTGGCAAGGGTTTGCAGAGAAAATACAACATTAATGAATCAAAAATTATGACTGCGAGGAAAAACAACACAAGTTATATATACTCAGTGATGGGCCCTAAATAGCCAGTTACTGTTCAGAAAGATCATCACAGAGTCATTATATCAATAGTTCTCTGAAAATACCCTTTCAATTCTCTGGGAAGAGAGGAGAAGATTCCTTTCAGGAATCTGCAACTCCCCTAAATTATCCTGTCTGAGATTGCATTATCATTCATTCTAATACCATTATTTCCATAGAAAACTGGCTATCCATGCACCTCTTGAATTTCTGTCACTCCATCTCCAAAATTGTTCTCCTCCATCTCCTTTCCTTGCTATTCCCCCAAATTTCCTTCTTAGATCAGTAAAACAAAACCCATGTCATGAATTGGTCCAAACCAGTTTGTCTCTGCTGACCAGTTACAGGACCTTTTTTTTGCTAGAACCGAACCAAAACAGTTTCACTGACAGTTGAGTCTAAGTGAGCCTCAACTTAAGTGAAAGCTACTAATTCTGTTCCCTGAATGCAGATCTCAAATGTGAAACAATCACCTCAAAAGTAAAAAGAAAACAAGTTCTTAAGTTGTTTATTTTCTATGCCTAATTGCACTGCATGTTTGTCTGCTGCAATTTCCTCCTAGAATAGTTTTTGCATTTAACGCTCTGAATTGATTGTAGTGCTTGTGAAGTTCCATGCATAGACATTAAAATAGTATAATTACAGAAGAGTACAAGCTTCCCTAAACTGCAGGTGTCATTGACCTGGCAGGTTCATCTGTGCATCAGAAGTAATAATTCAATAGCTCTTATTTCTGATGTCTGTATGCACATCGTATATTTAAATTTCAAATTTAAGACTGAGACAAAGGCAAATGTTCCGTTTGGGTTATATTTGAGTTTGCTTTTTTCTTTTCGTTTTTGGTGATTTTTTGTTTATACGAAACCCACTGGTCCCTATTAATGTAACAGAAAACATTTAAAGCATTTCTAGATAATTTATAAGCCTTAACATTATATTAATGATATGAAAAATATTCTGAGGAAACATGACTTAATTGTATAAACATGTAGTGAATTTTCTGAATTTCCAATACGATAGGCCCTTGGCAGGCTAATTTCAAATTAATTTATTTCAGAATTTCCTGTTCTTATTCCTCTCCCAAGTAGTCCTGCTGCCAAGTAGTTACACTCTCAAAGTAGTTATGCCTTGGGTGCCTAGTTTTAATAGTGTCATATCAACCAACATGCATTGCAGCTGATCCAAATCAGTAGAAAGTCATAAATAAAGGTAAAATTTAACAATGTTTTGTAAGAAAACTATAACATTTCTACCTCAAAGCTATGTGATGTTGTTTACATCCAAATAACATTAGCCCCTATGAGTATCCTCATAAACTATTCCTGATATGTAGCAGTTTGCTTCTTTGTGATTTCACCACATACAATTTTCAAACTGTGGCAAACAATGTAAGCAAGGCTGAGTGAGGCAGGCTTTATAAAAAAGAACATAAAAACTTGAGTCTGAAACAGGCTTCATCTTGAATGTTCCTTGTACCCTGGATGTTACGAAATTGAGCAAGTATTTCCAAAATTATTACTGTTTGGTCAAATTTCTTTTTATATCTGTTAAACATGGGCTGTATTCGTCATACTGTTTTACCTAACAGTGGTAATGTTTTTTTTCAAGTCACCTATGCACAAATGGATATAAATACTGAAAAAGAAACTTTAGAAGTTGCTTATTTGGGGGAAGAAAATTATGAAATATCAGTACAATGCACAAAAAAACCCCAAGAAACACAAAAATAAGCCAAAGTTGTTTTAGGAAAATGTGTGAAAATAACAAGTAGTGTGCATGTGTGTTATGTTTGTCATTTCTGTTTATTCCTAATGCAGTCTTTTGGTTTTTACTTTCAATGGAGACCTCCCTCTTCCAGTAGTTTTACGGTTTATTAATTTCTCTAAAAGGCAATTATCTCATGTATTGAAATCTTTGTACAGGATAGAACAACTTAGTTAACTTAGTTTACAGTGAGTTAGTCTTCAATGAAATCTTTTTTGCCATCTTAATAAAAAAGTTAAATATGCAGTAACATCACAATTTTACAGTAATTATCCCTGCTAATAGAAAAAAAAAATCAAATTTTTCTAATCTTGTGTTAGTAAAGACTTCATTTAGACAAGGTATGTGTTTTTAAATAAAAGTAACATGCAATCTGTAAATACAGATTTATGCAATTTGAAAAAAAAATGAATTATGGGTTTACGTGTTCTGTACATGCTATCATGTAATATGATTACTATCAGTCTTGTTTAGTTATTGCACATACTAAACTGTCATGTCTTGTTAGGAATTACCTTGTTGCCCTCGTGTTTGCAAGTAAAAACATTAGAATTCTTGAATAGATAAACCCAAGATATTCATAGTTAACATAAAATTAAGTTTAGGTATGTTAAAAGTACAAGCAAAATGCCAAAATAATGTTAATGCTGTCTTACAGCGACATGTTTCAATAAGTATATGGTTTTGACTTCAGGTATTCCAGCCTGTGTGGTCTCAGACTGTATTAACTCTTTTTAATGAAATGTTAGAGTTTGAGGGCTTGGGGTTTTTTATTTTTATCTCCTTGTGATATCAGCTGGATTCATAATGCTTGCTTTGGAGGTAATTAGAGCATTTTATACACTTTCTAAATAAAGAACTTATATTCATGCTTAATCTTACTTCCCTTTTCACTTATTTTAATTTTGGAAGAAAAAAGTTAAATATTAAATTCTGAATCTTGGAAGAATTTATATAGTGCTCTTAGGTGGGCTCTTTCATTACAGGAAAAAAATGACGCTAGATATTCATGTAATAAAGTAGTTCATTATTTTAAATTATGTAGACAGCTAATTTGATGATGATCATTATATTTTGCTGTTGGAAATTGAAGTGAAAATTGGTCATTTGACTTATACACATTCTTAAAAGGTAGGATCCACCCATGAAGGAGAAAAATTGAAGCTTTTTGTTTTTAGGCTATATTCTTGGCCCAAATTATTGTTTCTTGGCCTACTATTTCCTTTTTTTTCTCAATTAATTAGTAAATGAATGTGGAAAACTTTTTAATCTAGCTACTCATTTAGACCATGGAGAATCAGCTGGTATGATAAAATTTCTTACCTTCATATAGATAAATGCAAACTTCACTATTTTAGAGAGACTTCAATGGCATTATTGTGAATTATCAGGATCCAGGATCATGCTGAGATTATGTTCTTAGAGGTTCATAATAAAGCCTTCACAGTGCTGCTCCCCTCTTTGAGATAGCAGAAGGAACTGGGGTGTGCAGTATTGTGAAGCCATTTGTAAACCCCTCAATGCATGATAGCAGGTACAGTTAGTACGGCCAAATTTTTCAGCTGATTTCAGACTAAGAAATTGTATATGTTTTGTCAAGATAACCAATAGGGTTTTTAATTGCTTTTCCAGATCCATCAGAAGAGCATAAAACATTGTTTGGAGGAACAATGGGGTCTCCCATTAATAACCTTCTAGTAAACAGTGTTTGTTTTTTTTTAAAAAGGATATCTTAAATCCAGACTTTTTTTGCATTATTATTTGTAGTCTCTGTTCTCTTTTTAATCAGCTGAACTTTACACTTCTGACCCTCTATCTTTAACTGTGGATAACCAAACCACACACACAAAAAGAACTTGTAGTCTTGATTCTTCCCACTCTGACTTCAGCACTTACCCCCAGTAAATGGACCTCGTTGTTGCCCCCCTGTCTTTATATGGTCAGGGGAGCATGAGTAAGAAGGATGTTTCTTCAAAGCATAAATCAAGATGAAATTATACATTATGCCCGAGTTGACCTAATAGCTATAACACTGCCTTACCTCTTTGCTCCCAATTCTCCTTCTCTCTCCTCCTCTTGCACCAGCTGTTGCATATCTCTAATGCTGCACTGGGACCATTCAGATCACTAAACAGAAACCTAATTTGACAAAAAAAAGAAAACCACAAAAGTGAATTGCTGTCTGTTATGTTAGCAGTTTGAATCACCTTTGGAAA